CAGCCGACTCCTCTGACACCCGCTTCACGTCCTCTCAGCCCCACCTGTGATAGCCAGTCCTGAGTGGGCTCCAGCTCACTTTGTGCTGACAAAGTCCCGTCTCCAGTGCCCACTGCCTGCTTTCTGCCCCGCTCCTCCGGTCCACGAGCCCTGTGCCCACATCAGGCTGGCTACGACCCGGAGATCAGACTTAAGGGAGCAGATAGAGACTCGCAGAGGTCCAGGGGAGAGAGGACAATGGGCTTGGCCAGACGACAGTGGGGGAGCTGACAAGTGACTGCATTCACCAGCTATCCGGAAGGTAGAGCGGACAGGACCCGCCTGAGGGATTAGATGTGGGGCGGGAAGGGCTAATACTGGGTTTGCAGCCTGAACTGGGGAATGCTGGTGCCATTCGCTCAGGTGGGGAAGACTCGGGGAGGGACACTGTGGGACACATAGTAACAAGTGCTATTGTAGACACTGTGGCCTTGGGATGCACACCAGACAGCCAAACGGGGCTGCGGAGGCAGCAGCTGAGCAGATCAGGGGAGAAACCCTGCGTGGACATTTGGAAGCCGTCAGCATTCAGATGGCACTGAAAAGCACGGACGTGGCGATACCATTTAGGGGACAGTGGGGAGAGAAGGATCAATTTCAGCAGAACAAACAGTGAATCATTGGGTTATTCCCTGAAGGAGGGACCCTCAATTTCTGCATGTGTCGGAATCATATGCAACCTGCTCGCTGGTACATTGCTTCCTTAGCATTCAGAAATTTTTAATATTTAACATTCAGACATTCTGGGCCTTGAGAAGACACTTAGGATGACAAATATCCCAAATAATTTTTTTTATTAATTAATTTATTTTTTGACAGCCCCAAACCTTGGAACTCCTAAGTGACTCTGATGCAGGGGATCTTTTGAGAAACTCTGCCCTAGGGGCTAGGTAGAAGGATGTGGGGAAGTGGAGGGCAAGGGGTACCGCCAGGGGCTGGGGTGACCAGGTAGCAGCATCCTGAAGAATGTTCCTGTTCTCTCCAGGGCCACTGTGAGGCCTTAACCTCCACCCTCCCCTCCTGCCCTGCGCAGGTGGAGGCACACGGATGTGGCACTCTATACCTAGGCGTTGGCCGAGTACGTACCAGCCTGTACCCCTCCCTTGCTCCTGCCCACTCCAGAGGCTCTCAGCTCTGCAGATCAGATAATTTACTGAGGGAACCCTCAGCAGCACCCTCAAGGATGGGCTGTGGTTGTTTAAGGCTGCGGTCCCCAACCCCGGGCCACGGCCAGGTACCAGTCCATGGCCTGTTAGGAAAACAGGGCCACACACCACCACCTGAGCTCTGCCTCCCCACCCCACCTCTCCCCCACCCCTCACCTACCCCCACCATGGAAAAGTTGTCTTCCATGAAACTGGTCCCTGGTGCCAAAAAGGTTGGGGACCGCTGCTCTAAGGTGCCCCAGCTAGGCTCCTAGCTGGGCTCTCTGAGAGATAGATGCCAAGCATAGGCATGGCTCTTGTCACTGTATGAGCCAAAGGGATGGCACCCTGTTTTTCTTCAAGGCAGGAAGCCAACAGAGGGCTATTCTAGCGGCATATTGGATGCGGGGGGTGGGGATCGTCTCCAAGCCTTTGTCTTTATTTCCCCACCGAGGGCTCTGGGCTCGTCTGCTCTCACACGGGAATCCCTGGCCCCCACAGTGCCAGATCTGCCTTGCCAACTGCTAAATGACTGTTTCTTTGGATGACTTGGCATTGTGAAGCCAGAATTTGCCAACTCCCCTCTCCCCTCAATCCTGTGTCTCCCTTCCGCGTCCATATTTCACTTTTCTCATCATCGGATTCAAGCGCGACTAGCACCTCTGACTCCTTCTTCTTCTTTGACTCCAGCCTGATACTCCATTTTGCCAACTCTTCCTCTAAAATGTCCTTTCCATCTGTCCCTTTCTCTCCATTCTCACTGCCCCTGCTCAATATTGTCATTCGATTGGGCTATTGTACAAGCCTCCGTTATGAACCGAATGTTTGTGTCCCTTCAAATTCATATGTTGAAGCCCCAACCCTCAGTACGATGGTATTCAGAGATGGGGCTTTTGGGAGGTAATTGGTTTAGGTGAGGTCATGAGAATGGGGTCTCCATGATGGGATTAGTGCCCTTATAAGAAGAGGAAGAGAGGCCAGAGCTTGCTCTCTCTGCTCCAGGTAAGGACACAGCAAGAAGGTAACTGTCTGCAAGCCAGGAAGGGAGCCCTCACCAAGAACTCAATCAGTTGGCACCTTGATCGTGGACTTCCAGACTCCAGAACTGTGAGAAATAAATGTCTGTTGTTTAAGACCCCCAGTCTATGGTATTTTGTTATAGTAGCCTCAGCTAAGATAGCCTCCTACCCTTTCTCTCTGCTCCCTGCCTCATCCCTTGTGTGGGATATTAGTTTCTTTCACACCCCTTATCACTGATTATAATAATATATCTGTTAGTGTGTTTATTTGCTCAACATTTCTCTTCATAACCAGATGGCACCCTCCATGAAGCCAAGCTTCTTTTGTTCACCACTCTGAACACGGTGCCTGGCACATAGTAGGTACTTAATAATACATTTGTTGAAAGAATGGAATGTCGACTACAATAAAAGCCGCCAACCAGGTCTCCCTGCCTCCTGCCTCATTCCCCACTGATTCATGCCATATGCTTTGGCCAGAGTCATCTTTTTAAGACACCAATTCCATCCTTCCCAACCCTTTCTTGTCAGAGTGTTTACTGGGCTCCACAATCCTTTTGGGGTTTATGGAAAATGAAGTGAAGTTCAGATCAAGCTGATAGTGAGGAAAGGTGTCATGGGGCATTAATAATAATGCATCTAATTCTAAATTGTGGGTTTACTTCAACCCCCAAACTGGGCTTGCGTCTTTAAACCCATGAGCACTACAGGAAGTGAATGAGTCAAGCTCCCTAGCACCTAGTGTCCTTTAGATAAAATCGGCCCCAGCTGCCTGGACCTACCCCTCTCGGTTACAGGCTGTGGGTGGGCACAGCCTACAGCTTCCCTTTCCCTGCCGTCCACGCGCGGGACTCAGAGAACTGCCACCCGGCCGTGCAGTGTGGGCTCTGTGGGTGGGACGCAATCTCCCAGGATGTGTGTGTTCTGCGACAGTGTGTGCACGGGGGCAGGGGCGCAGAGACGCTGCGGGAGGACAAGGCGGACTCTTTGACTACAGCTATTTACAAAGTTGGGAAAACACAGTTCAATAGAATTTCCTCTTCAGTCGATGTCGGCCCATTTCCCCTCTCTCCTTACTAAGAGGAAGTTCCATTCGCTCACAGAAACACAGAATCACACATTCTTCAGCCTGGAAAAGCCCTTGAAGGAGCTTTCTCAGTTGAAGAACAATCGGGGCCTTCTGTTGGGGACTTTAATCCAAATTCCCGAGAAGTCTGGAAGTGTCTCATCAGCCCCGGCTGCTTGGAAGAACCCTCTCCATTCCTCCCCCAGGCCTGGCCGCGCGGGGGCTTGGAGAGCAGTTGCAACGTGGGGGTGAGCTGCCCTGGAGGAGGAACAGCACAGCCTGCATGCACTGAGCGCCACTGCTGACTCCATTCTGCCCCGCAGGCCGCTCTGCAGCCCGTCTCTTCCAACCAAAGCGCTCCGGTTTCTTGAAGATATTTCCTCTTATTCTCTGAATCTTTATAGCCACCCGTTGGTCAGTCTTCACCCAACCTGCGTCAGGGGCCTTTTCCATGAATCAGCCGTCTCCAACCCCTGACTTCCCGGAGCAGGCCACGCCCCCCCTTTCTACTTCCAACCTTGCCAAGGAGGCCTCCAGGGGAAAAGTCTGAGCAGGTTCGAGATTTGTGTGATGTTAGTCAAGTTCTCTGAAGGCGATAAGAATCAGTGCTTCCCCAGAACCAACCTTTTCTTAGAATGAAAGGGGGAGAGGCATGGTTGGTGATGACACCAGGGAAAAGAGATGAGGTGTCCCCAGTGATCTCCTCGGGGATCCAGGTTGGGACCAAGAGTAAAGCACACGGCAGGTTCAGCCGCAGGCTTGGGTTTGCTCCATCCGCTGGGCTGAGCCTGGGGAGAGAGTCAAACCCACGTGTGGCTTTTCGTGGAAGGAGCAGGGTGTTTCTAGAATAAATAAATGCAGATGGCTTCCGCACTTATGAGCACCGGGTCAGGACACACCTCCAGGGCGAAGGGGGCAGGTGATGGGGCTCCAGGGAGGGCTGATTTGCTGTCTTCCTGGAAGGGAGACGTTTACAGACTCTCCTTTCCAAGTTGTCAGAATTCACATCCAAAATGTCGCACTGTACTTTCCACCATTTCCTTTTCAGTCTTCTGAAAGAGCCCCTCTGCATGCTTTTTTTTAAGATACAGAGTCTTGCTCTGTCACCCAGACTGGAGTGCAGTGGCACAATCACAGCTCACTGAAACCCCTAACTCCTGGGCTCAAGCGATCGCCCTGCCTCAGCCTCCCCAGTAGCTGGGACTGTGGGCGTGAGCCACCGAGCCCGGCCCTGCATGCTCATCTCTTTCATTTTCACCCATTTCCAAGAAAAGCGGTCCATTTCGCTTTACATTTAAACCTCACAACATCCCCATGAGGAGCTGTCAACTCCATGTTACAGTTGGGGAAATGAAAACTTCGAGAGGGCAAGCATTCACAACTTGACCAAGGTCGCAGACCATGCCCGTCAGCACGAGGACTTGAACCTGGGTCTGTCTGATTCGAACCTGAGTCCTCAGCCCTGTTTCCTTAAAGCATCGTCACACATCCCATTCGCTATCATCCTCAGTTATCGACAACCGAGCCCTCCACCAGCCACTGTGTCATCAGAAGCCTGACTGGTTTCACACGATTCCTGCAGTTTTGACAATTTATTAGAACACAAAACATACATCACTCATTTACAGAGCTGTCTGTTCAAGGCACATTCGCAACCATTTCCTCAGTGGAACCTCACATCCCTACGAATTAGACGAGTTGGTCATTGTTTTCCAGATGAGGAAACCGAGGCTCAGAGAGGAAAAGTGACTTGCCCAAGGTCACACAGCTAGAAATAGCAGAGTGAGAACTAGAACTCCAGGGCTCCTGAGATACCCAGAGTTCTTTCACTGTACTATGCTACCTCTTCAATAAATAAAAGCACAAAATAAATAAATAAGGCCTTCAGGGGACCCTGAGGAATGCTCCCTTGCAGAGGGAGCTCAGTTCTCAGGCTGGCACGTAAGGGTGTCTTGGCAGTAGGACAGGGGCCAAGGCTGGATTCCCTGGGCCAGGATGTCTGTTTGCAGACTGTGACCCAGAAACGCACAGCGAAGAGACAGCTCTGGAGGGCACACACGGGCTGGCTGGTGACCCTCCCAGCTTCCGTGCCTGTGCATTGTGAACTGCTTTTGCTTGAAGACAGATTCCAAATGGACTGTCAGGACACAGGGCCCAACCCTGCCCCCTTCCTGGGCCCAGGGACTGGTACTCTCTTGGTGTGATGTCATGGACTCCTGCTAGATCTGTTAGCCTCGGCAGGAGAAAGAAGCTGGCTCTGGGAAGATGGCTTCTGGAGTCCACTGCCTTCCAGTCCAGAGTCAGGCAGGGTCAGAAATGTCACTCTGGAGGCCAGCGTGGCTAACATGCAGCATGGAAGACCCCCTGTAGGTGGAGTCCATATTTCATAGATGGGGAAACTGAGGCCCTCTGACAAGTAGATGGTCCAAGGTCACAAAGCTGAACACTGAGAGAACAGTGACCCCAGCTCAGTGCCCTGTCTGCGAGTGCAGGTCCCAACCCTGGCTCTCTGAGGCTGACCTGAGCTGGTGCCCAAGCCCAGAAGCTGCCTGAAGGGCTGAGTTTTGACCAACAGAAACAACCACGGTTTCTTGGAGCCGTCAGCAAGAGGGTAAGGCAGCAGGGTGGGGATGTGAGTGACTCGGCCACAGCAAGTGTCCCAGGGGGATGTTGCCCTGCTTGCTGGAGAGAGGGGAGATGTCCGCAGATGGACACCAGAGATACCCCACTAGAGGGACAGTTCTGAGCTGGATGACCTATTCAGGGTCTCAGCTCCCTGTGTCCCCCTGTGGTTCCATAATGATGAGACTGATTGGATAACTGACTGTCCAGGGAAGATATACATTAAGACCTTCTGGTGACCAAGCTCCCTGCCTGAGAGGCCTGCCAGCAGGGAAGCTTCTCCATGTGACCATCCCAGAGAGCAAACTCAGCCTCTGCCTACTCCTTTTGCCCCTAGAAATGACCCCTGCAGCAAGGCCCTGAGGCTTCTATCCTCTCAGTCCTCCCTCTTGCTGGAGGCCCTGAACTTGGCTGGCCAAAGGGTGAACATTAAGCTGACTTCAGCCTGGTGGCCTCACGTTAACTCCAGAAAACCCCGTAGTTTCCCTGAGCAAATCATCCTTTACAATACAGGAAGGAGTCCAGGGGACGGGGAGATCTCCCTCTTTGTCTCTGCTCTGCCCGTCTGCAGGGCCCCAGTCAGCAGAACAAGCCAATGCCACCCACACTCCCTGTACCAGTGCAGTGAGATGACCTCTTTCTGCCCCAGACACCCTGGCCAGCCCTGCAGGGCCCAGCTAGGGCTGGCCCCAGTGGGCTTGCAGAACAGTGCCAGACTGCCTCATGCTTCATTGCTGATTCCTGGGGCCCCTCCTTCTGGTCCAGGCAGGGCGCAGGCATGGCTGAAATCAAAGCAGCTACTTAGCCTGAGTCACTCGAGTACAGGCTGGAGATCAGTGGTAGGGTGACGGGGTCTGAGTTGAAGCCCCCCAGGATACTGCCTGGGGCTGCCATACAGTCCAGAGGGGCCAGATCATGGCGTAAGCTCCAGTCACATGTTTCCAATTCACCGCAGCTGGTCAAGCCCAGCAGTAGCCATTCCTCGGTTGGCTGGTTATGTGGTCCAGTTGGGGCTCCTGAGGGGGCCAGAGTCATTCCTATGGGATCTTGTTTCAAATAGCCCTTGGCCGGCGCTGGTGGAGGCCAGCCTGCCTCAGCATCCAGGCACGTCCTGAATTTGGGGCCAAGACCTTCTGTCAAGGGGAACTCTTCCTCCAGGCAGCCTGCCTTGGTTGCCTTCTCTTCTGTGCCTCTAGTCTGCTTCAGGTAGCCTTGGAATGCCACTGAGGCTGGGTCTTCTTCCCCAGGCATCTCAGGTGGCAGGGGACTGACGTGGCCCAAGGCTAAGCCATGCTGTGTGTCCCCAGGCTGCCCCTCAGAGTTTTGGACTAGGCCAATGCCACTGTCGTCCTGGCCCCTGCAGTCGCCCTCCACCTGCTGCTCCCAGGTGGGCCCCGTGTCAGGGTTCAGGCTGGGCTCCTGCAGGCAGATCCCACTGTCTGTGCTGTTGCTGCTGCCACTGCTGCAGCTGTCCCCCAGCTCCGGGGGCTCCCCGTTTCCTAGAGTCCCACCAGCCTGGGGGTGGGGGACAGGGAGGAGGAACTGGGGCTCTTCCGTCTGCAGGGATGGCTTGGTACTGCCAAAGCCACTGTCTGTGCTGCCGTGCAGATCCGAGTTCTTTAGCTCTGGGGACACCTTCGGGAGGGCCTCCTCATTGAGGGGGTGGATGGTGTCTTTGGTCTCTGGGCAGGGAAGCTGGGTGACGAGGAAGAAGGGGCTGGGTTTCTTGAAGACCTGGGGAGAAGAGGGCAGAGTGAGAGAGGCGGGGGTCACCTGTGGGCAGCCGCCCCAGTGCTGCCAGGTGAGGCCCCGAGTCCAGGAGGAGAACTTCAATAGAGGGGACTACAGAGCCTGCATTACACTGCAATTTATTCTGGTTTTTTGTTCTGTTTTGTTTTTTGTTTTTTTGATTTTAGAATCAAGTTTTCTTTCTAATGCAATTCTCAGTTTGGCTCAGCCCAGATACACACGAAACTTGTATTCTCGGAGCCTAGGAGGCATGGCAGGCACCATGGAACCTGCCGGGAATGGTGGAATTTCCCAGGTGGCTCCCATCACAGTGCTCTTCACACCTGAGAGCAGGTTAGACCCATCTAGAAGTGTGTTTCAAGCTTTTTGACTATCACCCAAAATAAGAAATAAATGTTATATTATATATATATATATATATATAGCATATATATAACTCATATGTAAATAACTGCAACCAGTTTCACAAAATGACCTGTGTGCCATGCTGTACTGTCTGTCATGTTCTGTTCTATTCTGTTCTATCCTACCCATTTCATTTTTTAAAATTCTGGCAGTGAGATATCAAGCTAATTCCTCCATTCCCTGAGTTGTGACCCCCACAAACAGGCTGGCTGCAGTATGGGGTGGTGGAACAGGTACAGAACTAGCAGCCAAAGACCTGCTCCCCATTAATTGCTAAGGGTCCCAGAGAAGTCATATAACCTTCTCCCCTTTGCTCCTCTGTCCTAGCCACACTGCATTCTTTCTGTCCCAGAACACATCAAGCACAGTGTGTGGCAGGGCCTTTGCACGTGCTGCTCCTTCTGCTTGGAATACTCTCCTCTTAGCACTTTGTATGGTTGTGTCCTCATTGCTCAGGTGTCAGCTCAGATGTCACTTCTTCAGAGAGGCCTTTATGACCATCTTGGCCAAAGCAGTGCCCCAGCCACTCTCCGCACTAACCTTGTTTACTTCTTCTTAGTATAATACCTAGTTGCTGGAATTATTTTACTTATTTGTTTTCTGCACCCCCACCATACACACACTCACTCCCCACTCCCCAAACAACATAAACTCCTTGAGAGCAGGAACTGTCTAGTCTTGTTTATTGTTCTGTCCCCTGAGCCTAAACTGAACTGGCATGCAGTAGATACTCATGTTTGTTGATTGACTTACTGACTCACTGTTGCACATCTTCCCTCATTTCCTTGGTACGTGACTACTCAAATGCAACTCTTATTGGTTGAGTCCCTACAACTATCACATCTCTTGGTGATTAAGGAGCCAGACTTCATGAGTTCAAATCCAAGCTCTGCCTCTTATCCATTTTGTCAACTTGGCCAAATGACTTACCTTCTCTGTGCTTTAGTTCCTCATCTGGAACATGGAAATAATGACAGTACCTGCCTCCTTATGTGGCAGTTAATGCATGTACTTAGAACAAACCACGGTACATAGGAAGTACTCAATAAATATATGTGGAATTAAATTTTACCCTCCAATCGTTCTGTAAGGGAAGTATTATTATTATATTTCACCTCTACTTCCTAGAGGAGAAAACTCAAGCTCAGAGAAGTTAAGTGACTTGTCCAAAGTCACACAGGAGCAAAGAACAAACCTGCAATTTGCACTCGACTGTCCTAATTTGAAATGCCTTGCTTGTCCAACGATACTTAACCTTATTTATACTTAATGGATTGTTGAAAGATCTGATCAAACCAGCTAATGAATGAGAGCAAACTACTGAATGTGGAAGTGCTCTGTACATCGTAATTTATTAATAAAGTTGGTAATGACTGTGATCATTACATGAAGGGAATCGGGCTGTATTTATCCTGAGGAGAAAAAACCCTCAAAGACAAGTCAATTCTGTGATTCCGATGCACCGAAAGGAAGAAAACAACAGAAGTCACTTGCCATTTCTGTCGGCATTCCTGACTACCTCTCTGTTTTGCATTAAAGTTAACAGCTTACACGCTGTCTGCAATCGAGCCCTGTGGGACCAGGGGCCACACTGATCAGCTGCTTCCCAAACAACGTTGTGCATGTGCGGGTAATAGGTGTTCAGCAGCTGTAGCTCAACTGCCAGCTCGTTCTTTCCAGATGCCTCTCCTGATCCCTGAGAATCTCCCCTCTGGTGTACCAGGACCACCCTTCCCCACCCGTCTGTTTTCTAGTTATCGTGTCCCCTTCTCCCATCCCTGAGGACGGGATCCAGGGCGCATTCATCCCTAAACCACCACCAGCCCGGCTCCAGGCCCTGCACATAGTACACGCTCTAAGTGCTTGTTAAATGGGCCAATGAATACATGTTTGTAAAACTGGATCTCCCAAGAGCGTGGAGAAAGGACAATGAGTTGCACACTTTAGCTAGACACAAGGAAGAACTTTATAATCCCCTAAGGCTGCAGGGCTGCCTGTCCTCAGCCTCCTCATGATACTTTTCTATCCGGGGTACTGGAGCTGGGAACACATTTCTTTTTTGCTTAGACGAAGACCCTAATTAGACCAGGCAGTCCTGTCCTCCCACCCTCCAATCCTCTGCGCACACACACTTCCTGGAGTTTGTACTCAAAATATTTTCAGAGAGCCTTTGTCTCTCTCGTTACTTTTTCCAGAGATCCCAGGATCCTTCTGGAGGCCCCCCTTTCGGTTGTGAGCTTCTCTGGGGCCCCTGCCTCGCTGACTGAGCTGCGTCCTCAGCTGAGCGCTCAGCCGTCACCCAGAAACGCCAGCTGGGGGGCCGGGGCGGGCAGCCTTAGATGCAGCCTGAACTCCAGGCCAGAGATGGCCGAGGTTCGGAAAATGCTGCTCAATCCTTGCACGCTGCGTTTGGGAGGCTGGCTTGCCACAGGTACATCACTTGTCAGTCTTAGTGCAGCAGGAGGACACACGCTGGGAGGGGACAGGTCCCGGCAGCCTCCATGAACACTCCTCCCTAGGATCCCCCCTCCACTGTGCTCCCGCCCACCCTGACTGCAACCCGGGGCCAGCATTTCAGCCCTTTGTTCATTCTCTCTGCGGAGCACCCATTGCCACAAGGGAGAAAATGGGCTCCACCCCTGACTCCTCCTGGCTGTGTGGCCCTGTGCATGTAACAATCTCTCTGTGCCTCAGTTTCCCTACTTATAAAATGAGGGTAATAACTGTGTCTGCCTCAGAGGTACCAAGCACAGGTCTGTCCGTGGCCAACTATTAATAGAGAATAACCAAGACTGGTGATCACCGAGGTCTGTGATTATTCAGCACGTGTCTCATCTGGACTACTAGAAGGTGATGTTCTCAGGACTGAGCTTTGCGTTCCCTTCCTTCCTCTGTCCCCACAGTGCTCGACAATGGTATCTCCTGAGAATGTCAGGGCTGAGGGAACGGACTGGGAGGAAACAGCGTCCTGCTTTCCCGGGAGCGCTGGCACGGCTGGGAAGATGGGAGACTTACCAGGACAGAGGGCAGCTTCCCCCGGCGCCGCACGTACAGGTGGAGGGCCAGGCAGTAGGCCAGGGCTACGCAGAGCAGCAGGACGAAGGCAGAGAAGATAACGAAGTGGGTCACGGTGAAATCTGCAGGCCAGAGGGATGTGTTTGTGGCCTGGCACCATGGGACACGAAGGGACAGTCCCCAGACATGCCTTGGCCACTCGGGAACAACTCAGTGAGTGACCCCAGGTACCCTCTAGGCCACAGCTCTAGATGTGTCTAGGTTTCGGCAAATCCCTGCCTGGCCTTCCAACCCGTGCCCTGAAGGAGTCCCTCATTAGACGCACTGACCCCTTCCAGCTCTCCGCACACAACTCACATTACAGCACACAGAACCATGAATGTGGCAGGATGGTGCACCAGGTAAGAAGAGAGGCTTTGGGGGACAGCCAGACCTGGGGTTCAAATCCCAGCTTCACCACTTACTAGCTGTGGGATGTGGACAAATGACTTAATCTCTCTGAGCCTCAGTTTGTTCATCTATAAAATGGGGGAAATTATAGTGCCTACATTATAAGATGGTTGTGAAGTTCACAGCACTCATTGTGTACTAAGTGCTTTACTTATATCATCAGATCTTTATAACCACCTTAGGAGGTTAATGCCACCGTCCCCCATTTTCACAGATTAGGATCCTGAGGCACAGGGAAGTTAAGTCACTTGCCGGAGGTCATATGCCTCATACCTAGTAGAGCTGAGATTTGAAAAAAACTATTTCTGACATCAATGAACAAATGTATAAAAAGCTCTTAAGGCCACCTAACACAGTTAGTGCCTTTCTCTTCATTGAGACTTAAATGACAGTGAGCTATTGAGTGTCCATCATAAACTGAAATTTATTGTAGCTCCATAAGGAGTCACTTTTGTCTTTGCTGGGCCCTGCCCACACAGGACTGGGCACTCTCGGAGCACTTACTGTTGGCATGATTCATCAGGCACTTGACATATGCTATCTTGAGTTGCCCATCACAGCTTCCTCTGTGCATACTCTGTCTCCCCAGCCAGGCTGCAAGGTCCTGGTGAGCAGGGCCATGGCCTGTATGTCCTATGTCCCCTCCCGTCCCCTACTGCCCAGCAGCTGGCTGAGAGCCTGGAGCAGTGTTTCCTGACTTTAGCAGCTCAGACGAGGAGTCAACTCAGTTCTGCTTCCTCTGGGGGTGCATAAGGAGAAGCCCCTTGTACCTTCAGCTCGGAGGAAAAACAGCTGACTGAGGATGGCCTGGTAGGAGGATGTTGGTTCCTGGGAACCATACCTGTGCTCACCTGTGCTCAAGTGAAAGGACCCCAGAATCAGGAGACCTGGTTCTGCCACCAAGTCCTAGCTGTGCAACAATCCTAGGAAGCTGCTTATACTAAACGCTGGTGCTCTCATCTCTAAAATGGGTACAATAGGACCTCTCTCATTGGCTGTGTGAAGATGGAGAGCTATGTGGGGCAGTGCCCAACACAGTGCCTGGCACCAGCGGCCATGAACAGATGCTTTTTGGATTGTGCGAGGCCTTCCCAGTCTCCCTCCCCCTCCAACAGCAGCCCTGATCCACTCACACTGCCTGCTGAGGAAGATGCACTCCTCTTTGGACCATAGCCCTTTGTTAGTTCGGGAGCTGACAGATGGTTTCACCTTGACACAGAACTCTCCCACCTCTCCTGCGGTGGGGAGGCTGAAATTTTCATGTTTTACTTTCTTGTTTGTGAACTGAAAGGAAAACAGCAACAGCAATAAACAAAACTCTCTTATTTCAGACACCCAGAAGCTGAGAGCTGGAAGGACCTTGCTGGTGATGGCGGCCAGCCCCCTCCAGCGTTCTTTAGCTAAGATAAACTCTGAGATTGTCAGTACAGCCCAAGATCTGTGTAATCACCATAACTGGCTGTGTTAATTGTTTTTTTGTTTTGTTTTGTTTTTATTAATGCTCCTGCTGTTCTATTGATTCTGTATTAAAAAAAAAAAACAGAAGTGTTTTATAGAAGCTGAAGATCTTTCCAGAAGGGGCTCGAATCAACTGTGGTGGAGAGGAAAGGGGATGGACTTTGCAGATTGCAGCTCTCCTACTAACAGGGGTGCCCTTGGGTAAATTATGCAGCCTCTCAGAGCCTCATTTCATCTATAAAATGGAATAAAATGTCCACCACCAAGGGATCAGAAGCTATGGGTATGTAATGTCTCTGGTGGTGCCCAACACCTAGTAGGCAATGCCCTCCCCCCGTCTCACAGGAGCACAGCTTTCAGGGCTGAAGTCATTTCAACTCCCCCTCTCCCCCCGAGGCCCTCCCTCTACAGCAAACTTCCCCGGTGACACATAAGAGGTGCTTCCAGCCCAGGGGACAGGGAAGCCCCGGAAGCCCTGGCCCTGTGGCCCTGGGGAGCCCCATACCTTGTATTGCCCTGGCACCTTGCGAATAGCAATCTCGTACTCGCGGAAGTGACTGAAGATGCTTTCGTACGTGTCGCCTGCGGGGGCCATCTTGGGCCTGGGGGGCTGGATGGTCCCGAGGATGGAACCCTTGTACCTCTCTAGTTTCACATGGCCAACTGTCAGAGTCACTGAGTGGGGAAGAGGAGCAAAAAAACCATGAGGCCTGAGGTCTGGGGGGGCCTGGGTATCCTGCCCGTGCCGTGACTCCAGGGTTAAGCTTTATCTGCCCTAAATCCTAGGCCACATACGGAATTCTTGGGGAGCACACTAAAAATACAGATGCCCTAAAATCAGCTGCATCGACCAATGGACTAGGACAAGGAGCCCAGAAAGAAACCCATATACCTAAGGTCAAAGTTGCCAAGAACACACAATGGGGAAAGGACAGTCTCTTCAATAGATGGTGTTGGGAAAATTGGATATCCATATGGAAAAGAATGAAAATGGACCCTTATCTCATGCCTTATATAAGAACTAACTCAAAATGCATTAAAGACTTAAATGTTAAGACCTAAAACTATAAAACATTAAAAGAAAACATAGGGGAAAAGCTGCATGACATTGATCTGGGCAGAGATTTCTTGGAAATGACCCCAAAAGCACAGGCACCTAAAGCAAAAATAGACAGATGAGGCTGCATCAAACTAAAAAGCTTCTGCACAGCAAAGGAAACAATTAACAGAGTGAAGAGACAACCCATGGATTGGGAGAAAATATTTGCAAATCATACATTGAATAAGGGGCTAGTATCCAAAATATACAAGGAACTCAAACTCCTTAATAACAAGAAAACAAATAGCCCTATTAAAAAATGGGCAAAGGACTTGAATGGACAATTCTCAAAGAACACATACAAATGGCCAATAGATATATGAAAAACTGCTCAGCATCTACAAAGAAATGCAAATTAAAACCACAAATGGAAAATTGCTGAGCACTGGCCTATGGGCAGGCATTCGGGAGCCAATGACCTCCTAGACCATCGGCCCTAACTCTGAATCCTGCAAAACAAATTCACCATGCACACAGAACACACTCACTCTCAATGTGCGGAATGCAGGAATCCCACTGAGTTCAGGGCTCATCCTTTCCTCTTATCTCTCCAGAGACAGATTCCCAACTTTTCTTCATTAGCACCTCCCCTTTTCAAAGCGATAAACCCCAGCAATTCACCCCTAAAGGGAGAGGGCCTCATCCAAATGTTTCCTACTGCCTGCCACCCTTGTTTATGGATTTGCTTCCTCTCCCCAAACCCTACAAGTTCACGGGCCTGGCCTCATGACTCAGCTGCCCAGACCCACCCCAAGACCTCTCTTCTGTAGGATAAACAACTCCAGTTCCCTTTTAAATCTCACATGACTTTGGCTATTTTCTTCTAACTTTCTACAAAGTCCTGCCCCAGACCTGTTCAGGCACCTAGTCCCTGGGCGCTGACTCCTGGCTGACATGGCGAGCTATGGGCATAGAGAGGAACACTCCAGACTAGAGCTTCTGGCTGGAAGGGACCCTGAAAGCCATGTTCTAGGTCCTGGAGAGGAAAAGCACCTTCATCCACAGTGAAGCGGGTGTTGGCAAAGGTCCAGTTGGAGTGCCGGCTGCCATCCACTGCCCGGACTTTGGCCCGGTAACCATTGTTGTGGTACAAGTCCAGGGTCACCGTGGTGAGATCACAGGATAGCGCCAGGGCCTGGCTACAGCTGGGGATGACCTTCCAGAACTCTATTCCATACCTAAGGAGATAGCAGGGTAGATGCCGGGAGAGGAACTTGTGCTCAAACCTACCTCCTTTAAGAGGGAAGCAAGAAGCCAGAGGAGAGAGTTCCCATGGTGGTAGAAACTGGTACAGGCCTCAGGGTATTTCCTCTAGTCCAGTACATCTAATTTCGAGGGGGTTTCCCTTGGTTCTCGGGCCCTGTACCAATTTCTCTGTGGTTCCCAGGCTGTGGAACAGTACCAGTCCAAGGCCTGTTAGGGACCAAGACACAAGGCTCTGATGCATCCTCCCACTCCCCATCCCTCCCCCCACTCCATGGAAAAACTGTCTTCCATGAAGCAGAAGGTGAGCGGTGGGCAAGCGAGCCAGCGAAGCTTCATCTGTATTTACAGCCACTCCCCTCCCCATTGTTCGCATCACCACCTGAGCTCTGCAGCCCCGCCTTGTGTCTCCCACCGTGGAAAAATTGTCTTCCATGAAACTGGTTCCTGGTGCCAGAAGGGTTGGAGACTGCTGGTCTAGAAGACTCTCAGATGGGGATATAAGTAACCCAAGTCTCAGGCCCTCCAGAAAGACTTGCTACCACCTGCAACACAGCCTGGTCTCTCTCTTCCCGCAACTGCATTTGCGGTTGTTAGGGTGTCTCTGTTCTCCAACTATATTGTAGATGCTTCTCCTGCTTTTCCAGTGAGATGGAAAAGCCTGGAGGGCAAAGGCACTGCTTTGGCCTTCTCACTCCAGAGCTCCCAGCACACTGCTCAGCACATATGAGTCTCAATTGGTACTTGTCAGCTGGTGGATACATGTCAGCGTCCCTCCTGGTGTCACCTCAATAACAAGGCAGGCGGGGGCTGGCCATCCACCCCGTCATCCACCTCCCTTCTCCCTCTATCCTCCCTCTTCCTTACCTCTGGATCTCCACTTCATAGTAGGTACTTTCGGACTGATTTGGGATGGAGGTCCAGCGGAGGATATGGAGGAAAAATTCTGCTTCAAACCACACAGACGGAGGGCTGGGCAATTCTGTCCCTGGGGAGAAGAGTGTCAGTTCCAGAGCTTGGAGAGGCCCCCTCTCCACTCCCTCCAGAGGTGAGGAGGAGAGTGGAGAGGAAGGCGAGGAATACAACAGCTATCATTTACTGAGTACTTTGCTATGAGCTGAGCACCAGTGCTAAGCCCTTACATTCATTCCATTTAATTATCACACAGCCCAGCCCGGTAGGCATAGATAACCCCAGTTTTACCAAAGAAGAAAGGGAGGCTCAGAAAGGCTAAGTGACTTGCCTGAGCCAATGGAGCTGGCATGGGACAGAGTGGGGACTTGAATTCAGCTGTGTCTGATTCCAGAGCTAGTGTTGTATCCTTAAATCACTGCCCTGTGCTGTGATCAAAAGTCACAGTGGTGGCTGAGAAGGGCATCCCACGCAAGAAGGCAGGGGCGGAGGGCTGAGGCATGTGGGCAATGAGCTCTCAGATAAGCTAGTCCCTGGCTCTGCCCAACCCCTGTCCCCGTACCATCTCAGGCCAGCCCCGCATCCCCACACCTGGTCTCCACCCTGGCCCCAGCCCTGGCTAAAGCCCAAGCCATCCCCTGGGGTTGTTTGGGTACACAGACAGCCTGCTTGTTGGCATCTGCCTGTTTCTCTTCATAGGGCTCCCGGGCTGCCCATGCTGAGTGCCTGCCCCATTCCCTAGCTTCTAGAAGGGCACTGCCTATACCCAAATGCCCAACCTCTGGCTGGGTGAGGACAGACAGGCTGGGCTGAGGACATCTCCTTAAAGAGCTAGCACAGCACTGAACCTAGTCTTTCATTTCTAAGAATTCAGTAAACAGGCGGACTTTAAGCGTTTGCTAATCAAGCAGAATGAAGTAAGTGCAAGGTCCAGGCCGGTTGCTTCCCCTTCTCTCCTTCTTGATCCCGTAAGGTCTCGCCCTTTGACAGCGACTCTGCTGCTTCCCTTGTTCTCTAACTTCTCATCATCTCTTTAGGCTCCTTTTTTTCCTGACTGTGTCATCAGAAAACACACCTGTCCCTGTCTCTTGCTTTCTTTCGCATATTGTCTTTGATCCTCAGGTCTGTGTCTCAGTTTCAAAACGAGTGAAAAACGCAGTCAGTCTTTGCGGTGTTTTGGGCTGCACGTCCCGGACTGAGCTCGCAATCATGCGAACAGCTGACTGCATGTTTCACTTTGCATTTTGGCATCACCTCACGTAGAAGTAGTTTCGGACCGGCTCTGCCCTGCCCTCTCTGTGCCCTGCTCTCCCTGTCTCTGCGCCGGGTCCCTCTAAGGCCAAGCCGTTTCATTCTCTCTCCTGCGTTTACTCTTCTCAGTTGCAGAAACTTTCCAGGACAGCAGGCCGGGTTGGGGGTCTGAGCCAAGGAAGGAGGCAGGTGGGGGCGGCAGTGGGAGTGAAGCTGGGGACTAAAGACGAGGCAGGGAGGATCAGATGGGGGTGATCAGTGAGGGACGAGGTGACAAGGGACAAAGGCAGAAAGAGGTTAATTAGAGAGCTACGGGAAAGGAGAGTCAGAAGATCAAAATCACTCTTCAGGGGGACAAGAAGATCCATCATTTGAACCCTAACAGCAAAAAAGCTAGGGCTAAATGTATAGCTGAGGGGGGGATGAGAGGTTGGGGAGGGGGGTACTGGCCTGCACGTACTTCTCTATCCACCCCCAGCCCCCGTCAATCGCAGCCTCTTCCACGTCCGCAACAGGTGAGGCTGAGGCTCGGTGCTGCCGGAGTGAGGCAACCACGGGCCGGGACGGAGAGGTAACGGGCGCCCCTCTCCCCAGGGGGCCAGCCAGAGGGGTTCTCCACGGCACGGGGGACCTTAACGGAGGGGTGAGGGCCGGGTCGGGCGGGTCCCGGAGCCTTACCGTGCGCGCCCAGGCCGAGGCGCAGGCCGAGGAGCGCGGTCAGCAGCACTACCAGGCGCCGCAGCATCGTAAGCGCCGCATCGTCCGGAGCCGGAGCCCGCGCGCCTCCGCTGCTGCTCCCAGGGCTGAGACTGAGACCTTGGCCGCCCGCCCAGCCCGCGGCCCGCGGGGTGACATCGGCTGGGCTGGGCCTCGAGGCGCCCCGCCCCCGGGCCGCCTCCTCCCAGCCGAGTACAGACATACCCGCCCCGGAGCGCTGACCGCGCGGGCTCCAGGGCCAGACGCACGGCTGTCCCAGGGCGGAGACGAAGGCGGGGCTCCGCCCGCTCTCCCTTCCCATGCCCCGAGGCTCTCAGTGTCCTCGGGTCAAGCAGCCTGGACGTGTGTGTGTGTGTGTGTGTGTGTGTGTGTGTGTGTGTGTGTGTGTGTTAGGGCGCAGGTGGCGAGGGACAGCCTTGCCCCCCTGGGTGCGGAAGGTGGGGTGAGGGTGTCAGAGGTGATTTTACTGGGCGAGCGAGCGACCTTGGCATCGGAGCTGTGTCCGGGAGCTCCGAGGTGGGGAAGGACATTGTCCCAGGCACCGAGGGCAGGGGTGCGAGCACACGTGTGCGAGTCTTGGCGTTGCCCGAGGACCCCCGTGTTGTCTGTGAGTCAAACCAACGCCGGAGTACGTCAGGCAGAACCAAAAGTCATTTCAGAAGGCAGCCACGCCCCTTGGTCATGCACAGGTACTCCTGAGCAATTCGCTGTCTTAATTTCTCAGTCGAGCAATAGAGAGTATAAAAAACATCTTCACACGTTAAAAACCTGGCACTTGTCCTCCCAGCCGATCTGAGGGTGTGGCAACAAGAGCTGTCCCCTGAGGGTGGCCCTGACTGACCATGTGTCCTGGTGAGCCTGCAGATATCACTCTCCACTATCCACGCAGCTGGGGCAAATGGAGACGCCCGGTTCCTGGGCCCGCGTGCGGGAGCCGGAGTCCGGACCGGACCGGTACCCGCCGCCCTGCGCTGACTGCGACCACGCAGGCTCCTGGGGCAGACGCACCACTTTCCCAGGGCGGAGGCGGGGCTAGGGCCCACACTACCTTCCCTTACCCCTGGGCTCTCAGTGTCCTCGCGTCAAAGCGGTCCACGCAGCCTGGACGGGTGTGTGTGTGTGTGTGTGTGTGTGTGTGTGTGTGTTGGGGCACAAGTGGTGAGGGACGGCCTTGCCCCTGCAGGTGCGGAAGGTGGGGTGACGGTCATCCCCTTCCTGACTTAACATTTTTGGAAGAGTGTCCACGACGTCTCCCAGTCCCTTTTGGTTCCCCTCCCTTGCCTGAAATCTTATGTTGAGAGCTATTTCTGCTGGGTGATAGTACAGCTGCAAGACTGGGTCACATCCTAGCACATCCTCCGTCATTCACACCTCTGTGTCACTTGGCTCGTCTGAGACTTACCTCCAGGTGCACCAAAGATGTAGGCCATGGGAGACAAACTCTGTCCACCTCACTTTTTATTGGAGGGTGACACCTGCTTCTGTGTGCGCGTGTGCGTGTGCGCATGCTCTTGCAGTCGTCTGATTTACAGTGGTGAGTCTGCTGGCGTTGGGTTCAATCGTGGTGTTGAGCATGTGCCTAGGAGTTTTTTTTTCCAGGTGCATATATGTGGTTGGGACTGTGTGTGTTCCTGGAGCCCTGGCCTTGTTCTCAGAGGGCACAGGGACCAAAGAAGGGCGGCTCAGGCATTTCCAGGCCAGGGCTAGGCTCACCAGTCTCTCCCTGCTCCTGGGAAGTTTCTCTGGCAGTGCCTCGTGTCAACCTGAGGCCTTAATCCACTGATGCTTTCGAGAAAGGGGCCCTAACTTGGGTGTGCGTGACATTAGCACTGGGTGTGTGGTGAAGGAGTTAGTGAGGCATTGTCCCTGTGGTTTGGGGAGCTCTAAACCCTCTTTAAATGTTTGCAGAGTGGAAGTCTCTCTGCCCAGTGGCTGGGACTGAGAGTGTGCCAGGCTGTCTGGGGGCGTGGGGGTGGGGGTTGGGGGATTACAGCCTATGTCAGACGTCTACATTGGGACTAGAAAGGCCTCACTGTTGATGAGAGTCAGTGAAGGCAGAGTTTCCCCAGCTGCGTGGATAGTGGGGAGTGATATCTGCAGGCTCACCAGGACACATGGTCAGTCAGGGCCACCCTCAGGGGACAGCTCTTGTTGCCACGCCCTCAGATCGGCTGGGAGGACAAGTGCCAGGTTTTTAATGTGTGAAGGTGTTTTTTATACTCTCTATTACTTGACTGAGAAATTAAGATAGCAAATTGCTCGGGAGTACCTGTGCATGACCAAGGGGCGTGGCTGCCTTCCGAAATGACTTTTAGTTCTGCCTGACCTTTTTAAGGAGGAAGGAGCTGTGAGTTTCTTCCTGAACTTGTCTTTTACTTTTAGTTTTTTGTTGACTTATAAGAGTTTAAAAGTCTTACCCCATTACCATTTAAAGGAGGATCAGGATTCTTCATTCATACGAGCAACATTGAGAGCACACTCGGTATGGTCCAGACACTGCTGGTGCTGGCCAAAATGGTGATCAAAACAAGATTCCTTCCCCCAAGAAACAATCTAGCCAGAGACAGAAAGTGAACAGGGATTCTAACGTGCTGTGGTCAGTGCTCTGGGAAGGAAGTGCAGGCTAACGTGGGGACACAGGGCACAGGCTCTCCACCACACTTGGGCAAGAGGATAGGAAAGGCTTTCTGGAGGAGGTGACATCTAAGCTGAGACTTGAGGAAGAAGGAGGAGGTCGCTAAGTGAAGAGGGGATAGGTAGGGTATTCCAGGGAGAGAGAAGCGTATACTTGGAGATGAGGAAATATGGCATTTTTAAGAACTCTATAAAGTAGGTAAACTAAAATTCCTGTTTTAAGATGAGAAAACCTCAATGGCTGGCATAGGTGAATACCTCGCTCAGGACAGAGCCAGCATCTGAATGCAGCCTATTCCAATGCACTCTGCTGCCTCACAGAGAGCACCCAGGATAGGAGTCCTGCCAGGTGTATGATTACCCCGCCTTTAAAAGAAAAAAGAAATGCATGTGTTTGGTTTGGTCCGTATTCAGTTATTCATTCTCAGTGTCCTGAAAAGTCCACCCTATGACTCTGTGATTTCCGGTAGCCACACCAGTTTAGGGACAGATGATAGGAAGTAATCATAATAGTGATAATAGTGTCTTCTATTTATTGAGCTCTTCCAACTTATCAGGCACTATGCTAAATACTTTACATAATGTCGCAGAGAATGGCCAGCTGCTGAGCAATCCCATTTCCACTTCCCGGGCACACGGGGCAGCTGTATTTCCCAGTCTCCCTTGCAGTGAGGTGGAATGTGTGACTGGGTTTTGGCCAATGTAAAGTTGAGTTGCTAGGGGCCACTCCCAGGCCTGGCCACAACTCCAAGGGGATGACAGGAGGTGAGGTCCCTGAATCATCTCCTGGGGGAGAACTATGCAGGAAAGACACCCAGTCTGCATCAGCCTGTTAATTGAGTGAGACGTGAACACTTACTATATCAAGCCTCTGAGATTCTGCAATCTTTGTGATAGCAGCTAGGGCTAAGTACCCTGACTAATCTGCAAACATTGTCTCATTTAATATTTAATCCTTACAGCTGCCCAGCAAGATGAATATTATTATCAGTGTTTTACATATGGGGAAGTGAGGTCCGAGACTAAGTCACTTGCCTACGTCACTCAGTCAGTAAGTGACAGAGCTGAGATTTCAGCCTTGGTCTGTTTGACTCCAGAGCTCATGCTTTTTTTATTTTTTTGAGACAGAGTCTTGCTCTGTCGCCCTCAGTAGGATGCAGTGGCGTCATGGTAGTTCACTGCAACCTCAAACTCCTGAGCTAAAGTGATCCTCTCACCTCGGCCTCCCAGAATGCTAGGATTACAGGCACGAGCCACTGCGCCCAGCCAGAGTTCATGCTTTTACTACCATGTGAACGATGCCCTTCCCCATCTCGGAAGAGTTTTGCAAAAGACAAATGTCAAGTGAGTTGAGAGAGAGAAAGAGAGTCAGTGAGGGCCTGGGGAGGAGGAACGGCTCAGGCTGAGCCTGTTGTAGAGGGCAGAGGGGTGTGGTGAGCCCTAGGGAAACTGTGGGCAGAGCTGGGTGAACATCTCGCCACGGGGAAACTTTCTGGACAAATTGTGAGCTCTGGATGGTTCATTGTCTCATTTTCACTTTACTTCATCTGGGACAGGACAGGCATCCGAGCGGGTAGGAAGTCCGTGCTTGAGCGTGGTGAGAAGCACAGCTTGCAGTTTCTGTCCCTGGGCTGATGATTAGGGAAGTTCCAAGACTTGTGATCACTGTGTCAGAGGTACACATAATGGGGAGGGAGAGCCAGAGAGAACTGACCCCGAGAAGGAGACAGAAAGAAGGAAGTGGTCCGTGGAAACTTGGCAGTCGGTGGGTCAGGGTGAATGGTAGATACAAGGTGAGGGGCTCACCAAGGGGCAGGCTGGGCCTGCTCGGTCCCCTGGGAGCCCCTGGCTGTTGTCTACAGAACCTAGTTAATGTCCTCATCCCTTCACCGTCTGCCCGACTCCCTCCTGGCTGAGTATCAAAGAGCTCTGAAGGGACAAAACCCCCTGCGGAATGTTCCTCTTTGTGTACGGCAGCTCAGGCTTGAATGGGGAATTGCTAGAACTTTACCTAGGTGGGTGACATACATCAATGAAAGGTTTTGGGCAGGAGCCAGACATGTAGATTTGCATTTTAAATAGAAGAGGAAACCCAGAGGATGGAGGTGACTAGCCAGGGTGATTTGCCTCGTTAGTGGTAGAATGAAAACCCTGGTCTTTGCACTGAAGTTCAGCTCTCTGCCTGTCCTGCCGTGGCAGCTAAGCTTGTGGAACTGTGAAGATTGTGTGAGCTTGTTGTGCCCATCAGTTTAGAGGAAAGGGGGGGAAATCCTGATCTCCCAGGTGAAGGACCACCCCCTGCTACTTCCCACAAATCAGCAGAGCTGGGGCTAAGAGCCTTCTCATTCCTGTGATCTTCCTGGGACACTGTTCCTAGTCAATGTCCAAGGTGGGAGCAGGAGACCTACTTCTAGCCCCAGCTT